AATCCCTGTGTTTGTCTCTGTGTTTTTAAATTGTTTCTGCCTATTTTTTTGTCAGCTAAGTAAAGCCAAAGCCATGCCCCATTTTTTTGCATGGCCATGTTTGCAGAGTTGCAAATTGCAAAAGAGACCACTGTGGTGCAAAGCCTACAACATTTACTACCTGTCCCTCCAGAAAAAAAAATGGCTGCCCCTCGGAGTACACCATGGGCTCTGGCTGGCTCCACGTCATGTCCTTATTTGCACTCTGGTCCTTTGACTGCCAACAGGGGGGCAAAGTCTCAAATCAAAATCAAAGAGAAAGCTCTTTGCTTTCTCTGCTCTTAAAACTGTATCTATTTACAGACCCAACTTTTTCTTCCCGAAAAAGTTGCTTGGGGGAACCCAAGCATTGGGCTCTTCTGACCACTTTTCAGTCCCCTTCCTTCTCTCTATGGCCCTGCACTTCTCTTGTAGCCTCTGATTCCATTCCATTCCATTCATTTTCTATTCTATCTATAGAAGGTAGATTTCTTATTCTAAATCCTTTATGGGCATCTCCTCCTTCGCCTGCCTTTAGAGTCAGTGTTTCTTAGGTTTATCCTCAGTACACTGGTCTCACACTATTCACCCTGCCACACCCCTGAGTTCTTCTCAGGGGGATCAGGTTTCACTACAGCCCTCACCTGGAAAGAGGTGAGCCAACCCAGGTTACTGACAAAGAGACTCTCGTCCTTGGCTTGGGTAATACCAATACCTTAACACCTAAGTGAGCTCTTGATTTTCTTCCTTTGGCCACTGAATTAGTCAATATTAGCCTTGAATAAATAGCATAAAGAGTAGAATGATCACTTAGTGGGCAAGCAATAAAATGCACTATTGCTGAAACCAGTTTGGCTCAGAGGATAGAGCATCAGCCTGCGGACTGAAGGGTCCCAGGTTCGATTCTGGTCAAGGGCATGTACCATGGTTGCGGGCACATATCCAGTAGAGGATGGGCAAGAGGCAACTGATCAATGATTCTCTCTCATTGATGTTTCTAACTCTCTATCCCTCTCTCTCTTCCTCTCTGTAAAAAATCAATAAAATATATTAAGAAAAAAAAAAACGCACCATAACCCAGTGGTCACTAATAGAGGCTCTGGAATTAGAGCTATAAGCTGTAGATCTGAAGCTCTACCTCTTATTAATTGAGAATTCTTGAGTAAGTTGATTAACCTCCTGTGCCTCACTTTCTTCATCTATAAAATGGAGATAAGGTATTAGCGCTTTTACTCCTGAAGCATAGTAAATACATCACATAAGCTATTAGCACCGGCCTCCAAATCTCAGCTTCTTTTTGAAATAATATGCTTTATTCTTCACCTTTAAAATAGGCACAGTGATACCTACTTCCCACAGTTGCAGTAAGGACCTGAGAATGTGTCTGTAGCACTGGCATGTCATTGGCACTGAAATCTGGAGGTTCATGTTTATAATGAGATTTTTCTTTGGAATCAGATATTCAGAATGCATGCTCTTTTCTATTTTTTTTTTTCCAAGCAGGAACTACAACTTGGTTAGATTTTGTGTTTCCAATCAACAGTTTTATCCATTGAATTTTCCTTTGGATGCCTGGAGAGCAGCATTGACAATTTCACAACGGCAATGTACAACCAAGCTGCTTGGCCAGATGAGTCAACTCGGGTGCCTTTTAGGTGAGATTTACGTCAGCAGTTCTCAAACTTTAGCAAGGAGGGCTTGCTAGTCACAGAATTCCCAGAAATTCTGAGTCAGTAGATCTGGGCAGGGTCCTCAAATTTACATTTTCCACAACTTCCCAAGTGATACTGAACTGGTACTTCTGGACCAAGGACCACACTTTGAGTAGCACTGGTCCACACAGACAAAGTGGACAGGCTTTTGGAAATAAGTCAACTGGGCATCAACCTTTATCAAGATAAGCAAAAATAGTCACACTGCCAGTATACTCAATGTTAATAGTGTCTAAGACCATAACAATAGGCATTTATTGATTGGGGGCTATGTACCAGGCTTTTTTTTTTAAGTCCTTTGCACATAATAAATTTATTTTTATAGTTTCTGAATGTCTTTAAAAATTAATAACAGCATCCTCTGGATCATCCCTATGATCATGTTATACTGCCCTCATTTTTGTTTGTGTCCATGATCTTATTAATAGCAAGAGGCGTGGTTTACTTGTTAAGATCTAGGAGAAAGTGGAAATATGCATGGGATGTCCTCAGCTAAGGGGTAGCCAGATCGAGCCCTAGATGAACCATAGTTTGGATGAATCAGTCTTTTGAACAAAGACTTGCAGCAGGGAACTGAAGCCTCACATGACCTGCAGCATAGGCATACCACACTCAAAAACCTGTGCTTTATTAAAAAAAAAAAAAAAAAAATATATATATATATATATATATATATATATATATATATATATATATATATAAATTATATAGATATAGATATAATTGATAGGAAGGGAAAGGGAGAGAGGGATAGAAGCATCAGTGATGAGAGAGAATCCTCCTACACAGCCCACACTAGGGATCCAGCCCGCAACCCAGGCATATGCCCTGACTGGGAATAGAACCCGGGACCCCTGGTTCATAGGTCAATGCTCAACCATTGAGCCACACTGGCTAGGCAGAACTTTTGTTTTAGTAACATTTTGAACAACAAAACCACATAGTATAAACCATCTATTATTTTATTGATTTTATAGTTTTGTTTGTATTTAATTTATTAACTTCTTTCTCTCTCTCTTTCTCTCAATAAATAAAAGCATATCCTTAGGTGAGGATATTTTTTAAAAGAATGTTTCTCTCCTTTATAATAAAAGAAAAGTATTTCTTGAATTATGCCCAAACATGCCATCCTATATGCTTCATCCTTAGATCCTCATTTTCCCTCTATAGAAGCGGACCTAGCCACTTTTTTACTAGAGCTACTATAAAGCTCTTTTTCTTTTTTGTAGGTCAATTTATTTCTCAAACCAATGTGTATGCTTTTTAAAATTATTTTTAAATGTATTTTTATTGATTTCAGAGAAAGGAAGGAAAAGGAAGCAAGAGAGAGAAACATCAATGATGAGAGAGAATCACTGATCAGCTGCCCACTGCAGGCACCCTACTGAGGAACAAGCCCACAACCTGGGCAAGTGCCCTGACCAGGAATCAAACCGTGACCTCCTGGTTTATAGGTGGTCGCTAAACTACTGAGCTTTGCTGGCAAGGCTAGAATTTTTTTTTTTTTAATCCAGCTTTCATGCTGGTCATTTTGAAACTATTTTATTTTTCCTAACCAAACCAGCTATCCTTCCTACTTTACTCATACTCTCTTTCTTCATAATTTCAGTGTTTTTTGAGATATAATAAACATATAACATTATGAAGGTTTACGTTGTACACGTTGACTGATGCACTTACTTATTGCAGAATGATGCCCACCATAGCCTTAGCTAACACCTCCATCCAGGCACATCAATGTCATTTCTTTTCTGTGGTGAGAACATTTAAGATCTACTCTCTTAGCAATTTTCAACTCTCTTTTAACTCTCACGAAATCATATTTCCATCCAAAACTCTGCCTACTCAAGAAAAAAATTGTCACCAAATATGGGGGTTGAAGGGCAATATTTACTCTTATCATTTGGAAGTTTGAAAGAAGTAAGTAGTATAAAAGAGCCTGAAAATATTTTTACAAAGTAGAGTTATATATGCTAAGTACCATTGGTGATCATGGATTTTCATAGGTCATTCAAATAATGTTCATTCCTCACTTACTGTGTAGCAGGCACTGTGTTGGGTGTTATGGGAAGTAATAGAGCTGAAGACATCATCTATGCCTTCAAAGGAGTTACAAGTTCTCTTTTCATCAGTACAAACTTGACTCTCCACAAAAAGAATAAGGATATATTGAAGGCCATAAATGAGATGTTTTAAGTTTTCTGTCTAGATCTGTTTTAATTTTTAAATGTGGGGCATAAACACCACTTTATGTTTTAAAAACCTAATGACAGCAAAGTGCCTAATGTAGCTTTTTTACACAATCTGATCATGTGAACTTTCAAAGGTTTGAAATGTCCTTGAGCCACTTTTATGTGGCTGTTTGTTTTTATGGCAATCACTGGCATCTGACTTTGGCACACCATTCAATAGATTCTGCTCAAGGGTAGTTATTATCCAGCTTCCAATGTCGTAGAAGCTAGCAGAGTGCCTAACACCTGGTAGGCATTCCATCAATATTTGTTGAATGAAGAAATGCAAAGGTAAATGGGTTAACCTCTGTCCTTTCCTCTGAAATTTTACAAACTTACTACCTGTGACCTTGTTGGGAGAGTAATCTCATAGGACGACACGTTGAATCATTTTTTATGTTTCATGTGTCACATTTATTCATTCGAAATGGATTGCAATTTCATTGGTCCCACCTCCCACAGCATCTCACAGAAATTTCCTGCTAAAGGAAATATCAGTTGAAATAAGCTATTATTACTTCCTTCATTCTTAATTCTTAAAGAGGTAAGTACAAATTTATCTTTAAAAGAGAACAGCAAGCCAAAACCAGTTTGGCTCAGTGGATAGAGCGTCAGCCTGAGAACTGAAGCGTCCCAGTCAAGGGCATGTACCTTGGTTGTGGACACATCCCCAGTAGGAGGTGTGCAGGAGGCAGCTGGTCGACGTTTCTCTCTCATCAATGTTTCTAACTCTCTATCTCTCTCCCTTCCTTTCTGTAAAAAAAATCAAAATAAAATAAAAACAAACAAAATCCACAGTCATACATTTCTTAACTATGTGTGAGGTTGTGAAGAGATAACAGGTGACACATCGAAGCTACATATTTTAATAGATTTTTCCTAGAGGTCTATGACATGACAACCCAGGTGAGGAGATAGGAAGAGGTAGGAGAAAATGGAAAGTTATCTGGTAAAAGGGAGCCATCCGGTTTGAGGGGATTATACAACCAATACAGTAAAACCTTAACGAGGAGAACATGGCCAACCAAAAGATGCTTACCTTTGCACCCCTCACAGGTCAGCGCGTTATAATGATATCCGGATGCTCTGTCTCCACAAACAACACAGAGCTCATCTCCTTTGATTCTCCCCGTGGACATGCCCATTCGAGCCTTCTTTGTCACAGGAATCTCGGCTACCTCAGTCTCTCCCTGGTAGAGGGTCTCGGTGGGCAGTGGCTTGAGTTCATATATTCCAGGAGAGTACCACTCTTCAGGCTGCTGGGGGTAGAAATTCAGGCTGGAATAATAGGATGATGAGGAAATCTGTGGTTGAACTTGAGGAAACTGGATGTTGTTGTATTGTGAGTATGGTTCCACTTCTAGATTCTGCCCCAAAGGACCTGTTGTTGGCTCTGTTAGTACACCTGAGCAAAAGCGACAATAAAACTGGAATTAACATGATCACTCTATAAATCAGAGAGGCAGTTAAGCATACAGCATGTTTAGGAGTGTGGGCTCTAAGAAAAAACTGGAATATTTCCATAAAAATGAACCTTTTTAACATAAAATAAAACCATAGAGAATTAAAGGACTAAATTACAAATTCAGCTCAGAAGAAATGTGTACAGCATACAAATAATGTGTAAAGAGCTCATACAAACCAGTAATACTCAATGTGGCACAAAAAAAGATTTTTTTAAAAAAGCATTCAACATGCAAAACATTTAACATTCCATGGACAAACAATAGAAGACATAAATGGTTAGTTTTTAGAAATAAAAACACAAGTGTGTTATAAAGACATAAAAATGTGCTCCTCCTTGCCAATAATTAAATTTAAATAGAAACTGCAACCAGTGTTCATCCTTAAATATTCAAGGATTTTAAAAATTTGATAATACACACTCTTGAGAAAGCAAAATTCTTGGAGGACAATCTGTCCATATCTTTCAGCATCTAAAACTCAAATACTCTTTTAGCACAACAATCCACTGCTAGAAGATTCATCTTAAAGATAGGATTTAATCTGAATGATGAAATATTTGTGTGAAGTGTTCATTTGCAGCGATGTTTGCAAGCATCATAAATTTAAAATGATTTAAATATCCATCAATAGGAGTCTGGTTAAACAAATTATATTATGTTCCTACACTGAAATACTTCGTGGATGTGAAACAATCATTTAGATCTGTATGGGCAGATGTGGAAAAGTTTCTATAATATGGTGCTTCATGGAAAAAAATAAGCTATAGAATGCTGTGTATATTTATATGAGTATTAAAAAACACTGTGTGTACGTAAGGCTATTTTTTGCACAGTGCATAAGGAACTGATGATGGCGACTGTGGGAAGTGAAATGGTTGGGTTGTTTTCTGTGGTGGGAGATTGCACAATCTTTTTACTATTTGTAATTTTTCCATATATGTGTGTTGCTTTAATTATAAAACAAAGGAGAAGCTTAAAAAAAAAGAATGCAGTACTTGAAATTAGTTTACCAGGGTTCAAATCCTAGCTCTGTTTTATTACTATCTGTGTATGCTGACAGTCTACTTACCATCTTTAAGTCTTGGTTTTGTCTTTATAAAACAGAATAAAACACCTACCTCAATTGGTTGACATAAGGATTTAACAAGGTAATGCATGCAAAAGGCAAGCAGGTTGCAAATGTGTGCATACATAAAGTGCTAGATAAATTATAGTTGCCATCACAATAGTAATCACAACTATTCCTCCTGCCGTTATGAAATGAGTCCCTTATCTATAAAACCTCTAGGAAACAGGAAGCTATCAGGCTGTGAAAATGCTTCTATTTTCTAGAAACATAAACTATGGCTCTTTAGAATATAGCAGTATTTAAATTATACAAAACCTTTTTTTAAATGTTATGGACATAAATAAGATATAAGCGAATATACAAGTAGGTCTGATTCTTCAAAGTAGTCAGGCAACCCTAGACCAAAATTCCTACTCCATCTCTGTGAACAATGAGACTCTGAGCAAATTAAACTATTGATAACCTCCATTTTTACAGCAGTAGGCTTTCGATGAAAATATCTATATCAAGCGTTGCTGAAGATTGAGATAATACAGATCCACAATTCCTCATCTGAAACCCTGGGAGTCACCTGTATCTTCAAATTCAGAGTTGTTTGAATTTTATAACAGAATGCAGTGCTATTTCTCCCAGCATGGTCTGGGGCAGAACCCAGAATCAAACAGCAATATTTCCCACAATGCAATGTATATGTGCTCACACTAAGAGAATAAATAAAGGTCATAAATACCCTCAGTTCATTCAGGTCAGGTTTTGCCACAAAAGAAGTTTGTGCCACACTTGGGGGTCGGGGGACAGAGGCTTGCTTTTTAGAGTGTTTAAAATCTGGAATTATCAATTAGGGATTGTGGAACTCTGCATCTATGCATGAAGAATGCTCTTCACATTTCTCAAAAGATGGTTGCTACTGCTGTGATTATTATTATACTATTGCTGTTAGAAAACTTTATCAGAGAGTTCTTCCTAGTGCCAGGCAACTTGCCTATTCTCACTTCCTTCTCACAAAATCCTATGAGGAACATAACATTATTTCCCCACTTGCAAACCATTAGCCTGTGGAATAGGGAATTTAGGCAGCTTTACTCCTACCCACCTAAGTGGCTGAGCTTTGAACTTTGGGAGTCAGACCTCAACGCCCATGTGCTGAACTATTCTCTCTAGGAAAATTTCAGATGGGTGATGCTTTAGAGCAGGGTGGGGAACCTTCGGCCTGCAGGCCAGATAAGGCCCACAAATCTTTTGGTCTGGCCCTGCCAAGGCAAAAGGGGTGAGTTAATTAAATGTTCAACCAAATATAGCAGGCTAAATTTTAAGTTGATAATTCGTTACAAATATTCAGACATATTTATCAAACCTTGGCAGAAAAAGGTTCCTCATATCTAGATTTTATCCTCCAAACCATCTTACCGCTAATCAACTCTACATCTCCACCCCCAAACCCCAGTTTCTCTCCACCTACACTTCCAGGAAGGTTAAGCAACTTGCCTGAGGTCAAACAATCAATTAAGGACAGAATCTGGATTCTGTAAAGCCCAAGGAAATATGCAAGGTTTTTCTCCTCACATGACAATTCCAAATCTCTGAGCATTATTCCAGCAAAACAAATCTTTTAATAATCAAGAGACACAATGAAGTCCCAACACAAATCACATCAACATATCAATATATCAATCTCTGGAATCATCTCAATTAAAATGGAAAGCTTTCACAAAGACATCAATTCTATTACATGAAAACAACAGAACAGGCAAGAATATGAGGTCAGTGCACATTATTGATAAATAATACCTCTATTCCCAAAGCACACCTACTTCTAGTGTTTCACAGTATCTCCACCAAATCTCTACAGAGTAGACAATAAATATAGAGAGAATTTACAATTAAAAAAAAAAAAACCACCATAGCCAACTTATTTCAAAATGGGGCACTAAAACAACTTCTGCGAGACCTTGAGCTGCTGTGAGACCTTGAGGTACTGCCTAACATTTTGTCTCAATTTCTTCTGTAAAATGGAGCTATTAACCCCCAGCCTTGCAATCTCGTAAGGTAGTTCTGAGTATAAAATCAAGGTCAGCGAGAAAAGTTTTGACAAGATGAGTGCCATAAAAAGATATGTCTGTTTCCTAAGGAACTTAGCAAAATCCTAACTCTCATGATAGTTCATTAGTAATTGTTCATACTTATCAGTCTGTTTTGATGACATAAATTATAGGATACTTTTTCACTAATGTATATATCTTGAACACTTATTATTTGCTAAACACTCAGCTAGGCTCTGAGGATAATCAGTAAGACAGACAACAGAAAAGGCCACAGCCAATCGTGTGTGTGAGTGTGTGTGTGTGTGTGTGTGTGTGTGTGTGTGTGTGTGTGTGTATGTGTGTGTGTTGTGAAGGGAAGGTCAAAGACTGAGATAAAACCAAGTAAACAAACAACTGATAGAGCATAAGACATGAGGGGGCAGAGGCAGTAAGTCAAGTTTAGAGCGTGCTTCCTGAAAAGGAAATTTTATTTCTATGTTAATATAATTTAAAGGGAAACACTTTAATTTAAAGGGATGTATATATAATTTAGAATTTGTGAGTATTTTCTTGGAGTCAGTTTACCAAGGAGTTTGAAATTGAATTCCTTATTACAGGAATTCTACATGAATGAGAATATGAGAGTTGAGGGAAGAGTTTTTCAATGGGAACACATGGATGGGTTCAGGGGAGTCCGAGACATCCTGCACAGGAAAGCAAAATTCTCCTGGGTAGAGAAACTTTAGAATTTAATAATTTTTTTCTGGAGGGGCACCATCTAAGGGAACTTTAAGGTGCTGAAAGTGTGCTATACCTATCAGCACATTAACCACGCACCATGTGGAATACTGAGCATTTTAGACATGGCTAGTGAACATGAAGAAATGAATTTTTCTTTTAATTTTAAATAATTAAAATGTTAGTGAAATAGCTACATGGCTATTTAACGATATAAAGTGCAGCTTCAAGGAGTCTGTGGCCACAGCACCGTGTGCCCACACGGGGGAATCAGGTCCTGTAATAACAATGGCATTTCCCGTGATCGCACAGCTTCTGAGCCTCATAGAGGCCCAGGTTTTATCTGTTTTTTTCATTTCTGGCACAATGCCAACCACAGTAAAAATATCATGAATGTTTATTAGAAGGTCTCATGAATGGGAAAGTTGCCTTCGCTCCCTCATTTATTTCCTAATTCATGGATACTTAATTGTATGGCCCAGCTTCCTTGGTGAAGTTGTTTGCTTTTCCTGATGTCAGGGCATGTGATGTTGGTGCCTCTCGTTGGCTGGTCAGCTGACTCCTCCTCCTTGAGTTCGGCCTGGGCTCCCCTCGGAAAAGCTAACCTCTCCTGCCCTCTATACACACTTCTACTACGGCAGGTTTCAATTATGTTTGTTCATTTACAGGCTTAACTTCCACGCTAAACTTGAGGTGGAATGACGTACTGGTGGCCAGGGTCCTACTTCATGCCCAACTCTCAATTCCACTCAACCACAATTTGCTAGTTTTGACGCAGCATTAACGTTCAATGTGTTTTTGCTACTGTATTTGTTACTCTGTGAACTCTTTGGAGAATATGTTATATTATTATATTTATTATATTTATTATATTTATTATATTTATTATATTATATTATATTATATTATATTATATTATATTATATTATATTATATTCCCCCGCCCTTTTTTTTATCCCTGGAACCTTACACAGAGCCTGACACAGTACAAATGTTTAATCAATGTTAAATAGAAATAATAGAAAACTTTCATCCCCAGCCTATCAAGTAATTTCCATTTCTAAATACAGTATCAGTCACTTCTAACCATTGCATTGAAGCAAACTGGAAT